CATCACTTGTCAAGATCCGGGACAATCATGGACAATACCATCTCGCTCGTGCACAATCAAGTTTCGTGTTCGAAGCGTTACGCTAACGCCTTGCGTTAAATCGCAGAAAAGTACTGGTGTCAACTAGTGTTTCAATGCTGTCGGCTCCAGCTAAGACATTGTCAACATTAAAGTATTTCTTGACAATGGGGACAGACAGTGGAAATTCATGCCCTTCATCATCAGCTAGCTGATTTAGGACCCTGGTGTCGTATCCGAGGTCGTATCCCACGTTGAAACGCACGTCCTGCTTTCATGAAATAAGCACACAGAATGAATCCAATTCGCATCTCAGTTATGTGACCGAACATTCCGGAAATGCTGCCAAAACGCATAGGCTTTGCGTTAATTACATGCCTGGTTGCCAAACATGATGCAGTGAGCGTTTGGGTTGTGCTTACATTTAACCGTGTTGTTATTTTTTATTTAAATATTCAATTCTGTATAATAAATATGTACCTGGTTTTATCTACAATATATTTTAGAGTTCAACTACGATTTCTGTATCACTACATCTACCCCCAACAGTACTCCTTCTTATAGTACGTTCAGACTACAGAGTTATAACATGTTATAGCGCTATCTTGATGGTGGTTTCTGTGTTGCAATTAGTTGACAACCGTTATAACATGTTATAACTCTCCAGTCTGGACAGCGTTTTATAGTACGTTCAGACTACAGAGTTATTATAACATGTTATAGTGCTATCTTGATGGTGGTTTCTGTGTTGCAATTATTCGACAACCGTTATAACATGTTATACCTCAACAGTCTGGACAGCGTTTTACTTGCTTTCTAACTTAGATCACGTGTATTTAAAAAATAAGTATCGGAAAATAAAATTCTCATTCAATGATTTATTAATATAAATACTTAGAAATTCATTTTTTTTTTTTTTTTTTACTTTCTGTTGTATGAGCGGATGTTTCGAATATTTGATTTTGCATACTACTGAAAATAAATGCGTTTTTTTTTTTGCCGTGCCGGAAAAAAAAACATATAGTTACCATAAAATAAAATACAATTACAACTAAATCTCTTGCCAACAATTGATCTTATTGTGCATATATTGTACAAGAAATTTTAACATATTGTTATTACAATAAATGTAAAATATGTCCCATACTGTAAGGATTTTACAAAAATAGAACAACAATACAATTAGTGGTAAATGCTCGGGTAAATGGATCAAGTTTGTTCGGGAAAAAGTGATTTTTGGTTAAGATACATAACAACCCCCTTGATCTATTGTAGATTTCGCCATTTACCATAGATTCTATAGTGAAAACATTAAATTATATGGTTAGTTTATTGTTGTGGACATTATGATTTATTGTGAATACTATTAATACTAATAAATTTTATTATTTATGTCGAATGTGAATCCCAGCAAAAAAAGAGGTTTTTTTGTTCCAGTGTATAAAAGTCATTGACTTGCGTCACCAAACTTCAAAAGGTCTACAAAAGGCTAAAGGGTTCGCTAAAGTATGGTTGTGTCAGTGATTTGTTTTCATCAAGAAAATTTTCCGCTATGAAGTTTTTTTTTTTTTCGATGAAAACATTTTGCGTATATGTATACGTGACGTAGTGTGCGTACGATAAACGTCAGCAATCTCTATAAACCGAATTTTAGAGAAGTATACAACTCGAGTTGAGAACAAAATGAATAGGAATTACCAAATCAATAGTTCTTTATTTAGCCAGTCTTAAATTTTAGTTTGTAGTGTTATGAATAAGCTTTATAACAAAAAAAAATCCAAGTACTCGGGTACATCGAAGTGCTTTGCCGTTCCAGTTCTGGGAATGTTTGGTGTTAACGTTATGAGATCCTTGCATCGAGATTCAGTAGAATAGTTGGTAGATGTAATCCTCGTCAAATCTTGCTGGTCGACTTAGAGTGTTCCGTTGTCGAAGATTCCTGAAGTCCCGTTGAAGCGATGGTTGATCGTCAGTAGATGTGCTATGTGTAGGCTGTGTATCACTATCATGCGACTCTTGCCGATCAGAGTGATTTAAACCTGGTGCTATTTTAATATCTTGGACATTCCTAGTGTACTGAATTCCAGATCTACTCATCACTACAACTTTTGCACCGTCTCTAGCAATAACTTCAAACCGTTCTGAAGAGAAAGTAGGATCTGTCTTAGTTTTTCTGTGGTGTGCAAGTAAGACCGTGTCGCCGCTGACAATATTGCTTTCTTTAGCCCCACGTACGTGATCAGCATACTGCTTCGATATTAACTTCGTCTCAGTATCAAGCTCTCGAACTTCCGCGCGGTCAAGTTCACTGGAATTTCCGTTAAAATCGGAAGGCTTCCATAGACCGGGAAAGTTACCCCTGTACTTCCAACCAACCATTAATTCGAAGGGGGTAACTTGCAGCCGTGAATGCGGGATTAACGTGTTATGTCTGTGGACATACTGCTGTAGTGCTTTACGCCAGTTAGATCCTTCTAATTTAGACGCTGATAGGGCTTTAATGATACCTGGATTTTGTCTTTCAACAGCCCCATTGCTCTGAGGACTTAGTGGTACAGATTTTCGTACTTTAACTCCTCTGTTTTCCCAATATGAGATGAATCCGGTACTCTGGAATGGAGGTCCATTGTCACTTTGTATGACAGAAGGGTATCCCCACATTTGAAAAACATCGTTTAAGGCTGAGTTTGTAGCAATTGCATCCATTGACTTCATCTCTACTACAAACAGGTAGCGCGAGTATGTGTCCGTTACTACCAGAAATTCCCCGGATCCACAGGAGGGTACTGCAAGAAAGTCTATTTGAAGCATTTGCCAAGGTCCTTCAGGCAATTCTCTTGAGCATAGGGGCAATGGTGGATTTCGTCTCGAGAGTTGAACACAGGTGTTGCAGGTCTTCATGAAGCGAGTTATTTCCGCAGACATCCTGGGCCACCAGAAAAACTCACGCATTACACGCTTCATCGCCACCTCTCCATGTGCTGAATCAAGTGCCTTTAGTCGCAGAGAGTAGGGTAGGATTACTCTGTCATCTTTGAAGATCATAGAACCACGACAACGCAAATTATTTTTCTGTGCCTCATATGCTCGCAGTTCAGATGGCCATTTGTTCGACGACACCGATTTTCTCACTGATAGTAATTCGCTGTCATTTTCAGACATCGTTTCTATTTCATCCCACGTAATGATCATATTACCAGTATCCAAAGAGTATAGGTAGTGAGTTTCTTCTTCTACTTCAAATGGGATAGCCTCTTGTGTAGCTGGTATGAGTCGAGACAACGCATCGGCTACATTTTGGATTCCGGGTACTCTTTGGATGTCATAGTCGTAAGGCTGCAATCTCAACGCCCAGCTCTCCGCACGTGAAATTGCTCGTTTTCCCAAACGGTGATTAACGTTGAAAATATATTGGATTGCTTCCGCGTCTGTCCGAATAGTGAACGGCCTAGTCAACAGATAGTAGGCAAATTTTTCTACACCCCAGACAACTGCAAGTGCTTCCTTCTGTGTTTGGGGGTAACGTTTTTCTGCAACGGATAACGCTTTAGACGCACAAGCTATAATCCGTGGAATGTTATTTCCGTCGATTTGAGTAAGTACCGCCCCCAAACCAACAGGTGAGGCATCCACAAATAATTCTATGCGGTCTGTCAGGTTGTAGTATCCAAGCCTCTTAATGGATTCCAAAGCTTCGTTTTTCAGCCAATTGAACTCATCATCTTCGTTGTCATTCCAATAAAATTTTTCGGAGTTCGCGAGATTTCGTAAGTGTTCAGATTTTGTTGCACGATGCATAATGAATTTGTCCATGAAAGTTATTAGGCCCAAAAAGCTTTTAACTTCAGCGCAGCAGTTTGGTTGCCTGAAGTTCTTAATTGCTTGTACTTTTTCCTCCCCAATTTGCCAACCGTTAGGAGTTAGATGAAATCCGAGGAAGACAACCGACTGGCTTCCGAAGACGCACTTGCTTTCGTTCAATACAACATTGTGGTTAGCAAGGCATGCTCGTACATTCGCCAGATTGACGTCATGTTCTTCCTTGGTTTTCCCGAACACCAACACATCATCTAAATAATTTTTGCATCCCTTGCAATCAGCCAGCACAGTTCGTTGAAGCGTCTCCTGAAATATGTCTGGGGCGTTGCAGAGACCGAATGGCAGTCGAACGCAGCGAAACATTCCGAATTCGGTGTAGAAGTTGGTAAGATGGCGTGAGTCTTCGTGCAATTCTATGTGGAAAAACGCATAGGACAGATCTATTGTAGAAAACCATCTGGCCCCATCTAACTCGGAGAGTATTTTCTCCAGAGTAGGTATTGGAAATGGAGTTCGGTGAATATAGCGATTTGGTCCACGCAAGTCAATTACTAGACGTATGTCGTCTTTACCTTTGGGTACCACCAACATTGACGAGCAGAACGAAGTATCCATTCCATCGACTACTCTTTCGATAATGTTGGCTGAAACCAGATTCTGGAGTCTTTTTTCGACTAACGGTTTGACTGCCAGAGGAATATTAGTAAAAACATTCCTGCATGGTGGTTTCGATGTGTCAAAGTAGATTTTAACTGGAGGGACGTTGAACTTAGGAAATTTTCCGGCTATCAAAATCGAAGCAATTTCACCTGCGTACATTGATTCTACAAACGGGTGCTCCACTATAGATTGAATAGGGACTTGTAAACCTAGCATCAAAACACTGTACCGTGATGACGTTGGTCTTCCTAGTAAAGCACGGGCTTCTTTGACTACATAAAATTTCTCTACGAAGGTTGGCCTATCGCTGGATATATAAAGGGGAGCATGGAACGTAGCCAAAACGTTGATGGTATCTTCTGTTGCGTATGCTTTGAGTGACTTGTCTGATTTATACTGGACATTTAAAACCCCGCTGCTATAGCTGCCGTGTGAAATCAGCTCCTCAAACATTTTCTCGGTGAACGTATTCACTTGCGCACCGGAATCAATCATGAATACGCATTGCATACCTGATACCTTCGCAGTGATAGTAGCGTCGCTTCTCCCAATATACTGGACATTGGAGCTGGTACACGCAACCTGTGTATATACATAATGAGATACATCATCTTACAAATTATTTACTTAGATACCTGTGCAACGTTCTCGAGAATAATCCCTTGAACTTGATTTGATAGCATTTGAGGGCCAACTATAGATTTTGAAACAACTTCCGCCACAGTTTGTGCAGGTTCCGAACGTACCTGTAGGAAGATGTGTTTACTATTGATAAGATTGTTTTATTTAACATTGCCTTTTTGAGATACCTTTCAAATACATAGTAAATAACGGAAGTGTTATATATTTAATTTTTTTATTTAAATTTTTTTTTTTATTTATTTATTTATTTATTTATTTATTTTTTTTTTTAGAAGCAATGATTATTAAATTGTATTTTTATCCATTTTTTTTTTTGGTTTCAGAACATTGTGCGTTAATGATATTTCAAAGAAAAGAATAAAAAAAATCAGCTTAAAATTCAGTCGATTCACTTACTGATTCAACAGAAACCAAGTCATCTTTCACTTCTTCAATTGCTGCTATCTTCTTCGCAGTAGTCTCCAACGACTCCGTTGCTTGTCGCTTCATACCATGACCTCTACCACGAGAGAGACACGCTCGCTGAATGTGACCAAGAATCCCGCAGTTGTTGCAGTTCTTTTCTCTGTGACCACAAACATCAGCCTCGTGATATATGCTGTTACAGCGCCAACATTTCTCCTTAGATGTGTAACGAAACGATGAACCACCACTAGCGTAAGACTCCTTAGGTGTGTAACGGAACGATGGACCACCACTAGCGTAAGGTTGTCTGCCACGTAGAGTTCGACTGCCTCCTCTCATTGATCTGTTTACGTGATGCTGGAAACCTCTCTGCGATGTATAATGACTCGTGTTCCTCGGAAAAGATGCACTAACGGATGCTACCACTCCTTGCTCGACATTCCGGTACTTTTTACGGACGTATTCTTCGTTCAATTTAATGGTTTCAATTTCGCGTACTTTATCGATCAGGTCTGTGAAACACTTATTGCGACTCAGCATTTTTAGTGCAGTCGTTCGGACATCTCGGTTTATGGCATGCTCGGCGATTGTTGCGACGATCTGTTCGAATTCTTTTGAGCCATCGAACTCGCAGAGTCTAGCCATTGAGCCAACCCGATTTATGTATGATAAGTCGGACTCATCTGGCTTCTGCGTCAACAATGCTAATTTACGCCTTATTAGCATTACATCTGATCCCGATCCAAAGTAGGATTTGAGCCTGGACATTGCATTCGTGAATGGAAAATAGTCAACATTCGGATCTTCATTCGACGACCTAGTGTTCTTGAAGATTTCAAGAAGTTTTGCACCGGCCTTAACCTTAAAAATTGTGAACTTAGTGAGTTCATCCTCCACTCCTGCCAATGTCATTGAGTCCACAAGAAGATCTTTCCAAGCTTCAAAACACTGGCGATGAATCTCACCGTCATCCGCAGGTTTGCATTCGGGTATGTTCACCGAGGCAATGGAGAGCTGATTAATGGACGTGTAGAACCTGGACTCTTCCAAGTGTGGTACAGCTGTCATTCTCCGAGTGCTGGAAAACCGGGTTTCCCTGTCAAAATCGGATCCATCAGCCTCTTTATCAGCTTGGTTAGCTAAGAGTTCCTCGTTGATTCGCTGACTTTGTTCGAGTTCTTCCATGAGCTGTGTGTTTTTAGCCTTTTCAGCTGCCAGTTCACGGGACAGATCTTTCATTTTATATTTTTTCTTCTGTTTCTCTACCGGAGGGGCGTTAGCATTTTCAACCGGTGTTTCACGTGTCATATCCTTCATCCTATAACCTTGTTTCTGCTTATTCTGCGTCTGCATTCGTTTCGCTGTAATTCACAATAAAAAACATTTTTTTTTGTTTAGTTTCCGCGCATTTTATTTAAGGGCTGAGGCCGCATCGCTCAACCATTTTTTTTTTTTTTTTTTTTTTTTTTTTTTTTTTTTTTTTTTTTTTTTTTTTTTTTTTTTTTTTTTGCTAAGCCGATTCACTCATGCAATGCTGTATTTGGGACCGCTTCGCCCATACATTTTTCATACATAAATGTGCTAAGACCGCTTCGCTCGCACTAATTTAACAAAGCTTTTTTTTTTTTTTTATCGGCGATAATTTTTTGCTGACCAAACAATTAATTTTATTCACAATTTTCACTCTACTTACCTATCGGCTCCGCCATGTCGTATCCGAGGTCGTATCCCACGTTGAAACGCACGTCCTGCTTTCATGAAATAAGCACACAGAATGAATCCAATTCGCATCTCAGTTATGTGACCGAACATTCCGGAAATGCTGCCAAAACGCATAGGCTTTGCGTTAATTACATGCCTGGTTGCCAAACATGATACCGTGAGCGTTTGGGTTGTGCTTACATTTAACCGTGTTGTTATTTTTTATTTAAATATTCAATTCTGTATAATAAATATGTACCTGGTTTTATCTACAATATATTTTAGAGTTCAACTACGATTTCTGTATCACTACACCTGGTTGCCAGATATGGAGCACAAGATGTGCCGTAGGTGACGGTGTTCAAACAGTAGGTTCTCAGTGGCTATGACTCTTTTCTCCGCCTAGTAGCTTGATCGTCCGGATGAACCAAAGCCTTACGATACATTTTCTCCACGTCTGCTTTCATGACAATTCGAAACGAGAGTTGATGACGATGAATCGTTGGTCCTGTTAATAGAATGTCGTTCAAGAAGAACTGGTTGCTGCTTTTGGCCTAGCCGTTGAACACGACTCTTATATTGGTTGTAGATGAATCGAGACGATGAATTGCGTGATGGTGCAAGAAAAACTGGGGCAATGCGACGGGCGTCTTAATCTTCTCCATATGCCCGAGCTGTTGGTTCTCGTCCATGAACTGCACGTAGCTTGTATGAAGAGCATTTTCGTTCCGAAAGCGTTTCTCCACAGCGGTGAGTCTTCGAGCGGCCATTGACCATGTCTCCCCGATGAGAGGTACCATCTCTTGGCGATCTGGTAGACGGACCACATAGCGTCCCTCAGCGTTGCGGGTGTGGGTTTTGGCAAATTGAGCTTCACATAATTGTTCTTCGGCCGTGAACGTCTTGCCGTGGTCGAAGTCTTCCACTTTCCAGAATCTCTTCACTTGAGTGACTAGGCTGCCAAGAATGGACACCAGACACGTAATTTGAGCGGGTGTGCTGGTAGGAACTTTGTATTGAAGGGTGGTCTTCTGTAGAACCGGAAGGTTGTCATTGAACGAAATTTTCTCCGCTAGCAGCAGGATCGAGAACAGCTCAGCACCAACGATGAGGTTAATGCCGTGACTCACGTTGAATTGAGGATCCGCCATCGGTAGATGCTCAGGGATCTTTCAGGTGCTAATCTCTACTGTCTTTGTTGGCAGACAAACGGCACCAATCATTCTAAATTATAATTTTATCTGAAACGAGAGGAGAATTGTACTGTCACTGTATAGCGAACGTTTACTAGCTTGTCCGATGCCTCTCACTGGACGACCTACTAAAGAGAGGCGGTTTCAAGCTGCGCAAGTGGAGCGCGAAACATCCTAGTATCCTGGAACACTTTCCAGACGAACTCAAGGAGGATCAACCGTCACTAGAACTTGATCGCTTCTCATCCATCAAAACACTTGGTCTCTTATGATCCCCGAAAAACGACGATTTTGCGTTCAAAGTTCCTGATCTTCCACAACTACAACGAGTTATCAAACGCATTGTCCTGTCGGAGATGTTGCAGCTTCAGCTCATCGGTCCGGTAGTCGCCACCGCTAAGATGTTCGTTCAGCGGCTATGGCAGCTCCAACTGAATTGGGACGATGGACTTCCGCAGACTCTTCAATCTTGTTAGTTGTCCCTTTGAGAATCGGTCTGTGTCATCCGAGATCTTCGTATATCACGATGAGTATTCAGAGATGATGCAGTCAGGCTGCACTGCTTTGTTGACGCTTCTTCGAATGAATACTGAGCATGCATTACGTAGTATCCCAAGGGCCAACCGCCACGCGAACAAGCAATCTTCTCATAGTAAAATCACGGGTCGCTCCAATCAGCGGCTCTTCCACGCGACGTTTGAAACTCTGTGCAGCCGTTCTGGGAAGTAATTTGACAAACTGCATCCGTAAAACCACGAAGTTTAAAGCCAAAATCACCATCTGGTCGGACTCGACGATCGTTTTGCACTGGATCAACTCCCCGCCGTCATCGTGGAAAATATTCATATCCAATCGAAGAGCAGAGGTCCTCAAAACCACAGAAGGCTCCCAATGGCGTCACGTTCCAACGCTGTAAAACTCTTCCGATTGAATTTCTCGCGGAGTACAACCCAAGGACATCAGCGATGATGCACTTTGGTGGTATGGGCCACCATACCTGTTGTCATAACCTCGACTGACATACAACAACAAACTGTCAAGCAGCGGCCGATGGTCGCACTCGTTTGTGTCACGTTCGATGATTCGCTGATTCATGACTTTTCGCAACTGTCTCATCTTCTTAAGATTGCTTCGTTCTGCCTTCGTTTCGCGAAGAATTACCAATTGTCGAGCCATGCTCGAACTTTCGGGCAGATCACACCGATCAAGTACAACAATGCTCTCAAATCTCTCATTCGAGTTGCATATGGATCAACTTTCCATCTGGAACTGCGATATTTACAGAACCACGGCCAAGAGTTTTTGACTCTGCGAAAAGCAGACTTCAAATCTCCGCTCAAGGACATTGACGTGTTGATCGACGAGTAAGGGCTTGTTCTATGAACGGCCGCCTAGTGCAATCACCTGGCACCTTCGACAGTCACTTTCCGATCCTGTTACGTGATGATCATCATCTCTCAAGGTTGATTGCCAGATCAATTCACTTGACTACTGCGTGCGTCAATCCGTTGAGGCAACTTTGTTAATCGAGTCGGTCGCGTTCGTCGGCGCTTTCGTTGGCGCGTTCCGCGAGATACAGGAGATGCGACTGAAGTCTAACGAATGGGCTAATAAGTGCCTAAAAAAGGGCATCGAGTTCCAGTTTATTCCCCGAGAGCACCGCATTGTGGTGGGCTGTGGGAAGCTGCGGTGAAGAGCTTCAAGCACCATCTCGTCAGGATCATTGACTCATCAATGTTCCACTTTGACGATTTTCGCATAGCTGCTGCTCAGGCTCAGGCGTTCAAGCGTTCATGAATTCACGACCTTTAATTCCACTTTCCAATCATCCTGAAGACCTTTCCGTGCTCACTCCTGCATATTTTCTGGCTCCCCGGGCCAGACTACTGAAGCATTCCCATTAATCGCCTATCCCACTTTCAGACGACGCAGCGAGCCACGAACGACTTATGGAACCGCTGGTCTAAAGAATATATTGGCCTGCTGCATCAGCGTCCAGCTAAGTGGAGGAAGATCCCTACCGACCTCGGGATCGGTCGCTCCACCCAAACATTGGCCTCCCGGACGCGTTGTAGCGGTCTACTAAAACAATGACAACATAGTACGGGTAGTGGATGTCCACACTCAAACCGGAATTCGTCGTTGTGCAACAACAGAGCTGTGTCTGCTACCGATTTATGAGATTTCAGGTGACACAGCAGCTGGGGTCGACCGATTTAACTCAGCTGACCGATGAACCTTCTTTATCTTCTGTCGGTTGAATGCTGTGCTTTAACGGGGGGCCGAGATGTTGTGGATCTTGATACTTACCTGATCATCTAAATAGAATTCATTGCATTTGAAATTATACGAGTATTAGTTCTTAAGCCATAACATTCTAGGATAAGAGTTAGTGCTCATGTCCCAACCGTCAGTGGAAAATGGAGCATCCTAACCGAACTGTCAAAGATCGAAGTAATCAGGAGACACTACCCTAGTAACCTTTTTGTTTGAAGATATCAAAAAGTGCACACTTGACATTCGTTATCAAACTTTCGTCCTGTACAGACTCAAAATATAGTTCTTTCTTAATTCAAACCACTGTTATAAATTTTAAAAGTTATGGGCGATACATACAGATAATCCGTAATCGGGATACCGCAATTCTCCGGTACCGGACACGAGAATTGGAAGTTTAGAGTTGAGAACCTCCTGAAATCGACTGGTGCATCCTGCTGGATGCGGTGAAGAAAGATGCAACAACCGTAACGGCTGAAGGAGCGACGTTTCAAGACATAGATGGAAAGGCAACGGATGTGATCATCTCCGTCATCCACGATGATTTACTGGATTTGATTCGAAAAAAAGAAACAGCCAAGGAAATTTGGAGTACTGTGGAAGGAATCTACTGCAAGAAGTAAGTTTCGTCGTTAACGCTTATTCGCAAGCAACTCGCAAAGCTGAGAATGGCCGAAGATACATCAATCAATAAGCCATTTGAACACTTTCGACTAGATTATTCGGAAACTGAAGTCAGTAGGAGTAAAACTAGGAGAAAGTGATCTGGTTTCGCAGCTGTTCGTTACCCTCCCAGCCCGTTAGTCACAACGTTGGAGAACCTCCCAAGTAACATTGCTGGTTTTATCGTGGTTTTATAGCATTCTACAAGTCTAAATCATGGCCTACAGATCCCTCATAAAACCAAAATTGTTACTTGCGCTTGATGAAGATAAGTAGACCGCTCGAGAGAGTTTATTGGCAGAAGAAATGAAGAAATCTTACCGAATGACCAATGAGCTCAAAGAGAAGCCGTCAGCGTTTATTGGAATCAAACAGAAACCCCGGAGGTTCAGAGGTAAATGCAATCGGTGTCACAAGAAAGGACATATGGCTAAGAACTACAGAAAGGCGGAAAGGCTGTTGCGTTCATGGGTGGTAGGTCATCTGAAAGCGGTGATCGAAGAAAGGTTACCTACAAGCTGGACTCTGGATCTAGTGAACCAGAAGGGATATTTCGAATCTCTTGAAAGGACGAAGAATCCCATCATTATTTGTGTTGCAAAAGATGACCTGTCCATAACAACTTGGCACTAACGAAGTCGAAAGCCTAGGTGTTCAGTGTACCGTAGACAACGGTCTCTATGTACCAGATTTGCGAGCGAACCTTCTATCGGTGAAAAAACTGACAAGAGCAGGTGTCAAGGGGTCGTTTAAAGAAAAATTGGCTGAGATGAACCACACTGGTGAGATTGTAGGTATGTGTCCTCTCAAAGACGATTTCTACAAACTAGACGTTTACCTGGAGTATGAAACTGCAATCCTGTGCGTAGCTGATTTGTGGCACCGCAAGCTAGGTCACCTTGATACAAAATCTGCGGAAACTAACGGCAATGGTAGCAGGTATGGCCTTTGAACAAGGTAAACTTGATTTTTGTGATACTTGTGTTCTCGGGAGGCAGTGCTGAGAACCATTCAACGACACACGAGTAAGATCTGAAAGATCGTTAGAACGCGTTCACTCTGATGTTTGTAGACCGGTTACGCAAAAAGCTCGGTACATCGTCTGGTGATTTTACACACTTCGCAGTAATTTTATCAATAAAAAAAAATCAGAGGTATTCGAAAAGTTTCGAAACTATGAAGCGATGGTTTCCGCTGCAACGGGCCACCGAATCTCGAAGTTTACCGTGGATCAGGGCAGAGAATACTGCTCAAAGGACCAGGTACGATTCTATTCCGAGAAGGGTATCCAGATAGAACCAACTGTTGCATATACTCCACAGCAGAATGGAGTCTCCGAGAGGACGTTAATCGAGAAAGTTCGTATGACGCTGATAGAGCCCTATACACCAAAACGTATCGTGAATGAAGCTGGGGTCTATCTCATGAACCTAAGTCCGACCAATGCTGTTTCGTAAAGCAAAACTCCTATCGAGATGTGGACGAATCAGAAGCCTGATATGACAAAGCTCAGAGTGTTTGCAGCTAGGCATACGCATGGGCTCCCACTCAGCAGCGGAAAAGCTAGATTCGTATAGTCAGTTATCAGTTATGGTCGACCAAATGGGTACAGGCTGTGGAATATGAAGATCTAGAGCTTGTTTGTAGCACGAGACGTAAAATTTGACGAAGACAATTTTCCGTTTAGGTCCAAGATTAACGCAGAGCCCGAGCCCACCTTGTTTGCGGCTCCTTACGATTTAACAAAAGAAGCGGATGCTGATGTTGCAGCAAATCTACCAGACACTAGAAGATTCGAGCAAGAGGGGCGAGAATCAAATGAAGATGTCGAATCAGATGGTCAAGAGGATGTCGAACCAGATACTGCTTTCAACACACCGGCCGCGCTCCACAGCAAGACGACACTTAGTGAAGCTTCAAATACTGCGCTCCCTTCGTGCTTTGAACGTAGATCAAGTTCGGTTGAAACTTCTACGAGGTCTTGCGAACGGGAGCGCCCGTTCTGCGGTAAGTCAAAT